TTGTTGTTGTTGTCATTTTCATACATTTAATATCTGGCAAGCGCGAACGATTCCTCTTCGTTCTTATATAGCTTATATGTATGTATGTTTATGCGTATGTATTTATCGCCACGGTTTAATTTATTTGGTTTCTTTTTATTTATTATTATTTTCTCTGTTTGAATCGCCTTTTTATTTCACTTTTGCGCTCTAGAGACAGACACACACATACACACACATACGAGTAGGTATACCAACTAACTACTAAAATACGCTGCAGCTGTGTCACTACTTCTTCGGCAATTTTTGCCTCGTTGTTGTTGTTGTTGTTGTTGTTGTTGTTGTTGTTGTTGTTGTTGATATTTTGCGCTATATGATTTATCATTCGATCGACTTTAACACAATTTTTATTTGGCTTTGTGTATGAGCTGCTGAGCTGTGGCTGAGGGGCTTCTAAGAATTTCATATGTACATATGTATGTACATACATATGGATTTTAGTGTCTTCATACGTATTAGGTATGTAAGAGCATAGTATGTACCAATAAGTTTTTTTGTATAAATTTATAAGTAGCTTCTTGTAAATACATACAATAATACTTAGGTGTAGATATTAATTTATGTATGTGTTATTGAACAATTTTATTTATAATTCATAACTAAACGGAATTGGGCACATTTTCAAATGAGCGAACGAGAATGCTTACACAAATTTAAGCGTATTGAAAAAAAAACAATATAAATTCAAATAAAATAAAATAAAATAAAATAAAATAAAATAAAATAAAATAAAATAAAATAAAATAAAATAAAATAAAATAAAATAAAATAAAATAAAATGAAATTAAATAAAATTAAATTAAAAAAAAAATAAACTAAATAAAAAAAATTAAATTAAATAAAATAAAATAAAATAGAATAAATTTAATTTAACTAAAATATTTTCTCTTTATTTCCTCTCTTTCTTAAATAAAACAAAAAGATAAAATAAATAGTATTAAGATATAAAATATATTAAAAAAATTTAATTTAATTTAATCTTATTTTTAATTTATCAAAATATAATAAATTTAATTAAAATAAAATAAAGTGAAAATTAAATAAAACAAAAAAATAATATAATTAAAAATTAAATAATAAAATAAAATAAAAAATATTATATCAAATTATATAATAAACTAAAAATTAAAAAATAAAAAAATTGAAACAAATAAAAACTTAAATTAAAATTAAATTAAACAAAATAAAAGTAAATAAATAAAACCAAATAACTTTAAAAATGTAAGAATATGAGTTTAAAATAATAATTTTGATGATTTAATGATGAAATTACGAATGAAAACCATCAATTATGGATAAGGAATGCCAAGGCTATATTTTGTAGGAATTGACAAATTCATTCAAAATCACATTATCTTATTACTCCACTAATAAAAAAAAAACCCTTAAGAATTAATTAAGAATTTTTCACTAATTTTAATCATAAATAACTGCGACCCAGAAAGTGAAGCGAGACGTTGTAAGCACTTTTCTGTTTCTGTTCAGTCTTATTATAAATATTTTCTTTTGATCTTAAACCTCAAATCGAATTTTTCTTAAATCTTAATTTGGCACTACAAAGTGATAAGGGGTTAGTTACTATGTCAGCCAGTGAAATCTACTTAACTTAAATAATATTTTTTTTGGGTGTTTCCGATCCAGGGTCTTTCCAATTGAATTGAACCACACTTATAGACCTTTTGTAACTAAATTCAAGTTATTTTTTAGACAAGAATTTTATGATTATCTCGACTCTTCCCACCTCCATCGTATTTCTGGCATGAAATTTAAAACATACTCGAAAAATCCATCACATATTGGGAGATGCCTTAGAAAGAAATCCAAATCGCGCGCCATGGAGTGATTGCTTCAACATAAAGCGCCAGTTATTTATATATATTTAAATACATACATATATATTTTAATATAATTTAAAGCCAAAGTATTCATCGTCCAACGACATTTTAATAATGTACATTTTTAATTTTATTAACTTCGGATCATAAAGAGATTTTTTGATGGTTGCGTTGAATTTAGTTGAAAAAAATAAATAAAATTGAACTTGAAAACCAACAAGAACTCGATGAAATTCTAATTAAAAGTGAATTTTTACATATTGTAAGTTTGTAGGTATAAATATGCACGAGTAAGTAAAACAGTGCGCATATTTATTTAAGAACTTACAATGAATAGCTTCCATTGCAATGAAATCCCCTTCTGGTACTTAAATACTCGTATATAAATAATAATTTTATTTCTCAATTCTTCTCAGAATATTTTAAATTTAAGCTTTTTGTGCTTCCCATTTAATTTTCATATGAAACAATTTCTTTTTCTGACTAATTTCTAATGACGTATGAAGAGTTTCTGATTTATCTTAAATTTATTATTTGTAGTGCATCAATTAAGCAAATAATATGTTTTCATGTATGCACATATGTATGTCTGTATGATGAAGCAGTGGTGGTGGGACAATCATAAGCAAGCCTAAAGTTGTGAGTCGAGCAAACGAGAGCAGACTTTTTTGTTTACCAATGCGATGCACAAAGGCAATTACATATTTGCATAGAAATAAAGATATCTACATATGTATGTATGTATAAATTACTTATTTCGTATTAATTTGCACGTATGTACATATGTATTATAACCACTGATGTTCACCACACTTTTCATTCATTTATTTAAAATTTTTTAATTTATCTTTTTTGCTTTTATTTACGTGTATTTATCAGTTCATTGTCATTGTATTTAGTTTGCAATCAAATTAGTCACCTACTCTTTGCAAGCACAACGCCTTTGTTATACTCCCATGTGCAGTATGTATGTATTGTATATTTGTGTGCTTTTTAGTTTTTATCTTGCGGGTGTAACTTAGCGCTTAGTAAGTGCTCTTAATGAATGACTATTATAGCTAATAATTTCCGCTTAGTCGCTAGACTATTATTCTATTTGCATAGCAAAAATGGGTGGAGAAAGAGAAGTAAAATATGAACATACATGTATACATATGTATGTAGGTGTCTGTATGCAAAAATAGATAAATGAGAAATTTGTATTTTGCCAATTTTGCCGACGGTATTGCGATTTGGCTTTTGTTACGAGCATAAACCGTTCGACAAGGAAAATTAAAACAAAATGAAATAAAAAACAATAAACAAATAATAATTATAACAAACAAAAAATTAAATAAATTTAGAGTAAAAAAAAAAAATTAAAAAATATTATTAAGTAATAAAAAATAAAATAAAACAAAATCTAATGAAATTAATTTTTGAAAAAAAAAAAATAATTTATATTATATTAAACTGAAATAAATTAAATTCGAAACAAATAAAATAAAACAATTTAAATGAAGAATTAATTTAAGAAATAAAATAAAATAAGTTATATTTCATTAAAATTAATTAAATCTAAATAAATCAAAGAACAATATAAATTGAAATAAAATAATATGAAATTAAATTTAAATGAAATAACATAAAACAAAAAAAAATAAAAAATAAACATTAAAATATTAAATAAAACAAAATAAAAAAAGATAAATATAGTAAATAAAACAAATTATAATGAAATTAATTTAAATTATATTAAACTGAAATAAATTAAATTACATTCGAATAAAATAAAATAAAACATCTTAAAAAATAAATAAAATTTATTTAAATCTGCATAAATCAGAGAACATAAAACAAATTAAAATAAAATAACATAAAACAAAATAAAGTAAAATTAAGAATAAAAAATTTAGAAAATTTATAAATAAAATAAAATAAAATAAACATGAAATAAAGTAAACTGAAAAAACGAAATAAAATAAATTGAAAATATTAAAGTAATATAAATAAATCAAAATAAAATTAAGTGAAATAAATATAAATATCAAATGAAACGAAATGGCCCGAAATGAAAATATTAAGAAATAATTATTTAATAATTAGAAATTAAATAAAAAATAGATTAGTTAATACAAAATGAAATGAAATAAATTAAAACTACATTAAAAAATAAGTTAAATCTTTTTATAAATTTAATCGAACTTAAAAAAGGAATTAAATTTAATTAAATAAAACGAAATATAAAATTTAATAAGTTTATTTAAGTTATAGTTTAGAAAAAAATAATATTTCTTTCGAGTATGCAGACAGGTAAGCCCGGAATAAAGTGGCACTGAAAATTCTTTATTAAAAATTCCTTAAGTATTTAAAAAAATTATAGAACCATTATAGACGCCAGCATACTCTTCAGCTCTCTCGGGACTGCTATGCCAGTATACAATTGGGTTCGAAAAAAATTTATATAAATTAAAAACTCCAATTCAAACTTATTTAGCGTAATTTAAGCATAAAAGTGAGTTAAATTTGGTTTAATCCATGTAGACTAGTTATGAATTATTCAAAAGCACTAAACACATTTTAAAATTGTATATAAAAAAATAAAATTGCTTTAGCACATAATAAACACCATTAGTCAAGTCACTAAATCCTTGCAGGAAAAAATTTACATTTCAGTTAACAAAAAAAAAACTTTTTTTTTTTTTAAATAAACTGACTCCTTCTCAAACAATACATTTGCTCATTGTTACAGCATACAATTTATTAAAAAAAAATATTTAATCGCACAAAGCGGCGTTTTATTTTCAATAAAAAAAAGTACTTGTTCTGCGTGTTTATCTTTAAAAATTTGAATTACGTTTCAATTTTTTTTTTTACTTTCAAAAATAATCACTTCAACAATTTTTATTACTTTTTCTCGAAAATATTTCACATTTGATGTTATATATGTACATATGTATATACATATTTTTTTTTTTGCTAATATATATGATTATCCGCTTTAGAATTTGACTTATCAAACAACTGTATTAAACTAAATTTTTAATACACACTCACAATACAGTAGCTAAGCATGCAGTCGTATTGGTAGTATAATATTTAGCATAAATTTATTTTGTAGCATTTTAATTAGTATAAGAAATTTACCATTTTTGCCGTGATGTCTTCCACTTTTAATCCGTTCTTAAACGTAAGCTGCTTGAGCTTTTCCCTGCTGAGGTTGGTATCCTTAAAAACTCGCTGGCGAGCTTTGTAATGGTATGAGAAATTTTTGAAGTTTTTTTTTTAAATAAAATTCTTTTTTGAATTTTAAGACGCACTTCCTTTTAGATTTTTAATAATTAACATAACGTAGTCAAATAATTTTATTCTATTTTATTTATTGTATATTCCTCTGCACAAAATTCATAGCATGTCTAGTTAATTTCTATTGAATTTTAAATTTTATTTTGTATTATAAAGTTGTTTACTTGTAAAAATCGTTTACAAAGTTCTTTTTTAGGGGTTTTCTTTTATTTTTCTTTTAAATTTTTTAATACACAACCAAAGAAATTCTTCCGAATTTAGAATTTTAAAAGGATTATTTATTTTTCAGCACAGGTTTCTCTACATATTTCAGCACCTCTAGACGTTTTCTAATCAGCGGTGTACAGACAGACACAGCAGGTTGCAAGGATTTTTGTTTTACATATGCAACTAGTTGTTGTTGTTTTGTGTTTAATTTTTAATTTTCTGCGCACCTTGAGTATTTGCGATGGATTTTTAAATTTCAGTTATTTTTATTTGCACAGTTTTCTAAAAATTTTTGTTTCAACACGTTTCCACGCGGTGTTTTTTTTTTAATTTAAGTTCAGTTTATGTTGAAAATTGATTCAAGTACTATTTTCATGTGCATATTTTGAATATGTTTCTTCGTCAAATTACTTGCGGCACCAAATATGATTTACAGATTATCTTCCAAATAATTTGATATATGTTTTTTATGATAAAATATAATTGTTTTGTCTGATTATATTTATATTTATTTTAGATTAATTAGTTTTAATTTAATTATTTTCTCAAATAATTATTTTTGACACATATTTTAATATGTTTGCGTCGCGTGTCTTATAAATTTAATTTTTTCATAAATTTTTTTTGGGGTGCACTTGTCTTCTTTAACAGCAATTTCCCCCTTACATTGATTTGAAAAATTATAAATTTAAAATATTTTGCATTCGCACACTTCTGTTCTTTGTTTTTGTCACAAATATTTCTTTAACGATAATATAATTTTCCAACAACTCTGCATACTTTGCACTGAACTCGGTGCTCCTTTTCGCCGAAAATTCCTTTATTAACACAATCAAAACACCGAAAATCTTGTGGGAGGCGGCGCCAAAGTACCGACAGCAACCGAAGACCGCGTTTAAGTGTGTTCGAAGATAGTAAGTAGGTACTTCACTTTCAAATTATTCAAAAATTGCAAACGCAAAAATCGAAAATAAAAATCAAAACAATCAAAGCCAAAAAAAAAGCACAAGCAACAACGTCCAAACAATTCAGAAAATCAAATGCAAATGTTATAAACACCAAACAATCAAAAACATTTGCCGCGCGGCATCCGAATGTCATATATATTGTGTATGTATGTATGTATGAATGTATGTATGTAAAGGCAAAAATATGCTCCAACGAATAAACGTTCTTGCCACTAATAAATAGTAAACGCAACTAGCTTGCTTAGCCAAGTGCTTATTTGTTTTTGTTAATGCTGTGTTCTGTGTTGCCGCTTTAGCCGCTGATTGCGCTGCTGCTCGCTGCCTGCTGCCTGCCGCTTGCACGTTTAGTCAATGACTAAGGGCGCGCAATTCAAAAAATTTTTAAATTCAACACAGCACAAACTCGAATACAACAAAAACCCAAAAACTAATAAAATCAATTTCACACACACAAACACACACACACACTTATGTGCGCACACCAACTCATTTACCCTAAAACGCAAACACAAACACACACACACACACACTCACGTGTTTTGCCTTCCGCTCAGCAGTAAGAAAAAGCAGAAGGCAGCCAGCAGCAGCAAACAAAAACAAGAGTAACAACAACAGCTGCAACAACAGATATGTTAGCGTAATAAAACTGTAGCCGGTGAGCGGGCAGTTAGATGAGCACAGTTTGGCTGTTGGCTGGTGCTGCTCGCTCCTCACTAAAAAGTCGCACCAAAAGAGAGCAAGAGCCGTTAATAAGCAGCACAAGCTGGCGCAGCTAACAAGCAAGCAACAAATTGAGTGGGAAAACTGTAGCAGCAGCAGCAGACAGCAGCACCAATAGCACTAGTAGAAGCTGTAGAGCATGTGAGCTTCTATGTAAGACATATTAACGACAGCAACAATGCCAACAACAATTAAAGCAATGCTAAGACATTCATTTGCAGCAGCGAGGAATTGCTGGCAATGTACAGTGGTGTGTGGGAGGTGATAAATTGAGAAAAAGTAAAATAACTTTATGCTGAGGTTGAGTTGGGCATACTATAACTCTCGACCTCGCGTTCTCTAAGACCTTTACTCCTGCTTTGCTCAAGAAGGCTCCTAAAATTACCTATCTGGTTTTGGTCAGCGAAACAAGCAGACCTAAGTTCAAAACCATTTTTACTGGACCAAACATTGTTGATCTACTTATTTTTTCTGTAAAAGTAAGAGATTTTCTGAAGAATTTTTTGGTATTTTTTACTGTTCGTCTGCTTCGTCTTTCGACGAAGAAATATACTTCAGCAGAAAATGTTGTCTGCAAAACTATTACAAACATCTTATTTTCAATCATTTTTGGATTCCAGTCACGTGCAATATTTTATTATTATTTTTATCTTATTTTTACCGATAGCCGAAAATAGCAGTTCGTCTTTATTTTGAAGTCTTATTTATACGGACACACTCCACATTTTTTTTAAATTAGTCACAGTTAAGTGATGCCAGCAACTTTCCCCATTCTTCTGTAGAGACAACCCTAATTCATGATATGCCCGAATTCTACATGTTTCTTCAGAAGATCAACATCTTTCACTAGGAAACAAGATCTTTTGCTAGTGATAGCCAAAACTTAATGAAAGATGGGAGGTGGCATTGGTATCATACATCTAGATTTTCCAATTTCGCTACAATCGGAGACGCCACGACAATCTAAGTGTCTTCCTGCATACCCTCAAGAGAGGATTCCCTTTTTACACCTGCTAATATTGCACCTAAAAATTTCAAAATTGCTGGAGTGACTTCGCTCATTTTTTAAACTAGATCGTATATTAATGGTATCGTCTGCGGAATTCGCCGTATTCAGTATGTCGTGGACTATGCGTGTTCGTATAACATTTCTCACGAGAATTCTAAGGCGTATTTATGGGACTAGAATTATGAACGTGGAATTGTTATAAAGTTAGTTCAATGAGAAATATGTTATTAATGCTTGAAAATGAACGTGGAATTGTTATAAAATTAGTTCAATGAGAAATATATTTTTATTGCTTAGAATTGAATGTTTTCTAGGGAAGACGATCTTAACATGATAAGGGGTATAATGGGAAATAAAAACGATCGTATTAAAACTTAAATTGAAAAATTGAATTAAATGAAAAACCCCTCATTGCCTACTACCAGCTTTAGTAAAAGCTTAATATATTTACAATTGGCGCTTTGTAACCACTGAAGCGATTTTCGACCCTGCTCCTCAACCAGTTTGTGGCATGTGCTATGAAGTTTTTCCAGCGAAAAGAGAGACCTAAAGTTTATTCGAAATTTCCTCCTTAAGGGTAGATTTTATTTCATGCCATAATTAGAAAAATTTGCATGTATGAAGACGGACGAACGAAGACTCGAACCCTGGTCATCCGAATGTTAGTACGTAATACTTAACACTCGACTACTGTTGCATTTGCTGCTTTATTTTCAATGTGTAGAAGTTTCAAATTAAAGTTGACACCTTTTATTTTATTTTCGATCTTTCGCCGACAAATTCGTTGACAGCGAGCGAATACTTAAAATCGACTTTTCCTTAAGTTTATACATATATATTTTTGCTTTACATAGTTATTGGAATAAATAGTGGAAGGGAGTAGGGTTGCCGGTAAGTATGTTTGGAATGGGGAGTACATTCAGTGAGGTGAGTATGCCGGAAAATATCCAGGTAAGTATTCAGGGGATTATTTATAAATTCATTTCATTAAAATTTTATTTGTTATATTATTCTGTTATTCATTTGATTAAACAATATTTTCTTAAAAATATTACTTATAGGATGATGAGGTCATTCTCATTCATGTCTTCAACACAATGTTTAAAATATTTAGACACAAACAATTATTTCGTCCTTAAATCCTTTTGCAACTATTTTCTTCTCCAAAGCGAACCACTGTACAATGACAACGAAGGAGTGCTCGCATATTAATTTGACCGCATCTTCGGCTCATTCTTCGTTAGTCAACGCTGCTGATTCGTAAAATCGAAAAATACGTATGTATATATGTTTGTAATTATTACTTTGTGTTGATTTTTTTTTTATTGTTATTGCATATTATTATTGCTCTACTACTTGGAATACTAATTCTAATTCGCTCACACTGCTTCACATAACTGTCTCAACAGTGAAGCAAGAATATTGCTCTCCTTACTCACATACGAAAAAATACGCTCACACTAAGTACGCAGCGCTCTCTTCGCGTCATATCGTCATGTTAAAAGAGTACGAAATGTGCTAAAAGTGATTACAAAAAGGGAAAAAAGAAGTGGTGATTACAATGGTAATGTCTGTTAAGATAATGCTTAAGACAAGCCAACTGAATATGCGTACTTACATACATACATACATACATACAACTGCATGCAAACATACAAACATACATACATATGCAAATGTAATATTTACATTAAGAGAACATATGTATTTACATTTTTACAGTTGAAGTTAATACAACCCCATCTTAACAGTAACTCTGACAATTGAAAACACCAACAAATATACAGCAATATCTCTGCCGCCTCATATACATACATACGTATGTCCATACATCCATACTGTCAATTCATAATATTAAACAGACGCTGGTGAAATAAATCTAATTTGTTGTTGTACAACATTTTCACTCCTGCAATTTAGATACTCAAAATTCAAAAATGTTTGCGCTGCCTTGTGCTCTCAGCGTGTGTTTGTTGTAAGCAAATGATATTTGTAGTACTTACTTAGAGAAAGAAGAATGTACATTTGTACTTATGTATGTATGTATGTTAGTAGCAATGACAACAGCGGAAGCGCATGCAGCAGCTCTTCAATAGTATTGATGTATGTACGAGTAATATATATGTATACGTGTATGTGTATGTAAAATAAAAAGGATAAAATTCTGCTAATCATTTGGTTGTTTGTTGTATCGCTTCAATTGTAAGATTTGTAAATTATTTTGAAGAATGTGCCCTGTGGGGAAAATTGTAAATTATTACAATTATTGGGAAATTAATTTCTTTTACTGGTTTGAAAATATGTTTCAAATTTTTTATTACTTGTAAATTTTTTATTTAATTTAATTTAGTTTATTTATTATTATTTTTATGAAATTTAAAGCATCACTTTAAAATTTTTTAGCCGTATTTAATTAATTTTAGTTCTACTTAATTATAAAAAATTAAATAAATTTATTCGAATTTAAAGCGATCCAAAGATGTACAATTTAATTCGGTTCCTTTTTTGGCGTTCAAAAACATAGGATTATCGTATTCATGGTTTCAGGCTTAAAGGACCCTGTTTCGAAATCTGTAAAACTTAACTGCTAAACCAAACATGTTTTGTTTGAAAGTCAGATATTTATGAAAATGGATCACTTAACAACCTTATAACCCGCTAAAATAATTAAAGCCATAAAACTACAAAAATGGTGTTTCAATCGCAGCCACGTTTCGTGTTTCTAAAGTAGACTATGCTTATGATTCACAAGCTAAGGACGGCGATTTTCTAAACAAACTCGAGGTATGTGTAAATAAGAAAAACTTTTGCATTTCGGGCG